TACAACGGTAGAGAATTTTTTTCTCTTCCTAATGATGCCTTAAATTAAGCTTTATCTTCATTAATTTTTAATAAAAATAAATTTTGAGTTATTTTTATTTTTGGCGCCATATCTTTAACGGTCAATAGCTGGAAAACGGTAATAGTACAAATCGAGTTTGAAACGGTACAAATCGGGTACAAATCAATCCCGTTTTAAAAATTTGAAAAATCTCAAATTTTGAATATCCGGGGGGGGGGGCTATCACGCTATAATATAAGATTTAAAATTTGATTTCCGAAATAAATAATGAAGATAAAGCTTAATTTGAGGCATCATTAGGAAGAGAAAAAAATTCTCTACCGTTGTACGTTAAAAGATTTTTTTAAAAAATAAATGTTGAGTGTTTTTTATTTTTGGCGCCATATCTTTAACGGTCAATAGCTGGAAAACGGTAATAGAATCGAGTTTGAAACGGTACAAATCGGGTAAAAATCAATCCCGTTTTAAAAATTTGAAAAATCTCAAATTTTGAATATCGGAGGAGGGGGGGGGCTAACTTCACGTTATAATATAAGGTTTAAAATTTGATTTCCGAAATAAATAATGAAGATAAAGCTTAATTTGAGGCATCATTAGGAAGAGAAAAAAATTCTCTACCGTTGTACGTTAAAAAATTTTAAAAAAAATAAATGTTAATTGTTTTTTATTTTTGGCGCCATATCTTTAACGGTCAATAGCTGGAAAACGGTAATAGTACAAATCGAGTTTGAAACGGTACAAATCAATCATGTTTTAAAAATTTGAAAAATCTCAAATTTTGAATATGGGGGGGGGGGGCTAACTTCACGCTATAATATAAGGTTTAAAATTAGATTTCCGAAATAAATAATGAAGATAAAGCTTAATTTGAGGCATCATTAGGAAGAGAAAAAAATTCTCTACCGTTGTACGTTAAAAAATTTTAAAAAAATAAATTTTGAGTGTTTTTTATTTTTGGCGCCATATTTTCAACGGTCAATATCTGGAAAACGGTGATGGTACAAATCGAACTGAAAACGGTACAAATCATTCTCTATCGACCTATTCACTTTTTATTTTTAAGTTCAAAAGTTGGGGGGCTTTCGTGAAGTTGGCCCCCCATTTTGTTCTTTGAATATCTCAAAAACGGTGATGGTACAAATCGAACTGAAAACGGTACAAATCGGGTACTAATCACACCAACTGATAAACCATTGAAAATCAAAAATTGTGGGGCCAACTTCACGGACCTTGTAGAACTATATAAAAACAAAAATTAAAATTCTCAACAAATCTGCCGTCTGGCTGGCACCATGCCAAATAAAATAAAATTTCTTTTCTAATTTTAGAACATTAAATATCCATCACTTCCTTAAGGAATTTTAAAACTAATATAACATTATATTTTTTATAAGTATTTGCGGAAGCAATATTTTAATTATAAAATATAAATTTTTATTTAAAAGCTAATTAAATATTATAAATATTTTGATACAAGGTAGGGTCAGACCCCAAAATATACTTCTGTCCATCAGGGATTTTTTCAAAATAATGTCCTTTTATATTATATATTGATATAACGATTTTATTATGAAAATCATTTCCATATTTATATCTTGGATATCATTAAATATAAATACAACTTTTTTGATAAAAAAAATATAATTTTGTTTTGTGTACTTTCTAAAAAAATAAAAATCAAGGGAAAGGATTGAGTGGCACTCCATTACTTGGAGAAGGAGCTAGCTCCTTTTGAGAAGGTAGGAGAGGGAGTTAGCTATTTTTAAAAAGGAGTCTTAACAATTCTGGTAATTATAATTTATTTTTTTTTAAAAATAAAAAGAAACAAGGTTTGGAAAAAAATAAAATAATATAGCAAATAATTTACAAAAAAATAAATAAATGTACGGTAAAAATTGTTATTATTATACAGTATATAAAAAAAAAATATATTCTAAAGATAGGAAACGACAACGAGAAAATAATTAAATTTATAGCTGAATTGGCAATTTATTAATTAGGCTGAATCCAAAGCACAACTTAATATGCTAAAGCTAACGTTAAATAATACTATATTTAATCAGGATACCTTAGCTAGATCTAAAAGACCACTTAGTATAGAAGATTCTTTTAGAAAAAAATATACTACTGAAAATACTCTAGCCGCTATATTATAAATCTAAAAAAAAATTTAAATTAATATTTTTAATGATTTTTCTATAAAAATTTTATTATATTAAATTAAATAAGAAAGTTTATTTATTCGGTTTATACTTTCTGATCGACGCTCTAAAGTTGGGGATAACACTATATATATTAAGATACAATAAAAAAATATATATATTTAAAATTTTTAATCAAATTTATTTTATTTGTGAAAATATAGATATTTTAAAAAAAATTTCAAGTATTGTAAAAAGTGGTTAATAGGACGCTACTTTATTGAAAAAATAGCGGAAACCCTTATAAAAACACGCTTTGAAATACTAATTTTAAATAAAATCAGTTTTCCAAAAATAAATAAGTATTTATATCAGATAGTTTGCCACCATAAATCTTTTTATAGGATTCTTCTACACTAAAATATTAATATAACATGTTTTATAAATAATATTTTTACTATTTTGATTTAGACTTTAAAAATAATTATGACTTTTGTCACTTTTCTATGGTACATTTTTATTGAAAATTTAATAAACTATAATTAATATTTTAACCATTTTCTTCAAAATATTCCAAAAAAAATACCAACATGGCTATTATAATTTTTTCATGGTATTTCATCACTGAAATATTGATTTAACATGTTTACAGTATATATTTTTATCTATTTGCTTCAATTAAATTTAAAAAAGTATAATTATAATGATTATGACAATTTGTCACTTTCCTATGATACATCTTCACTGAAATTATAATTTAACATGTTTACATAATATATTTTTCCCCATTTGCCTTAAAAAAATTCAAAAAAGTTCAAAAATTACGATTATGACAATTGTCACTTTCTTATAGTATATCTTCACTGAAATTTTAATTTAACAAGTTACAATATTTATTTTGACCCATTTGCCTTAAAAGAATTCAAAAAAGTTCAAAAATGACGATTATGACAATTGTCACTTTCCTATGGTACATCTTCATTGAAATTTTAATTTAACATGTTTACAATAACTATTTTGACCCATTTGCCTTAAAAAAATTCAAAAATGTTCAAAAATAACGATTATGATAATTGTCACTTTCCTATGGTACATCTTCACTGAAATTATAATTTAACATGTTTACATAATATATTTTTCTCCATTTGCCTTAAAAAAATTCAAAAAAGTTGAAAAATTACGATTATGACAATTGTCACTTTCCTATGGTATATCCACTGAAATTTTAATTTAACAAGTTTACATAATATATTTTTACCCATTTGCCTTAAAAAAACTCAAAAAAGTTTAAAAATTACGATTATGACAATTGTCACTTTCCTATGGTGCATCTTCATTGAAATTTTAATTTAACATGTTTACAATATCTATTTTTATTTTTACCCATTTGCCTTATAAAAACTCAAAAAAGTTAAAAAATTACGATTATGACAATTGTCACTTTCCTATGGTACATCTTCTCTGAAATTTTAATTTAACATTTTACAACATCAAGTTTAAACCATTTGCTATAAAAAAATTCAAATAAGTTGAAGTCGTAAAAAACGACCTAAACTTTGAGTCGGAGTCGAAAAACGACCCATATTTTGGGTCAAAGTCGTTTTTTCGGCTTGGATTCGGGTCGGAGTAGAAAAAAACGACCCATATTTTGGGTCGAGGTCGTTTTTTCAGCTTGAACTCGAGTGGAGGTCGAAAAAACGACCCAAACTTTGAGTCGGAGTCGGAAAAACGATCCAAAATTTGGGTCAACTCTGTTCGAGCCGACTCGGCTAGGCCGATTAACAACACTACTGCTAAGCGAAGTTTCTCGGCACTTAGATGGAACCCCAAATTCGAACTAGGGATTGCTTCAAGCAACTCATAGCCATTATCCAAGCTGGCAAATTAAAAATATGCCACAGCTTCAGTTTGTAAATTCAAATTAACTACGGAACGAGCAATTAAAGGATGGTCTCAGTTTCCAACTTATCGTCATTCCATATTTTCAGCTGGAGACCAGGTAAAAAGAAATAAGGCAGCGAAAATGATTTTTGGAGATGGAATGCCGATGCCAACCGTCTACCATGGAACCTATAGGACTCAACACATTTGACGGGAAAAAACTGATGGTATAACTTTTATACCATTTAAGAAAGGAAAAAACTTAGCTTGGGATAATACACATATTTGCTGAACAGATATCATTTTTATCCCATTAGTTACGACCTCTTTAAAAAATTTTGGCCCGAAGCCATTAAATTTAAAAAAAAATTCAGGTCGTAAAATCTCCTGGAGATCCCTTTTTTTTTTTATCTAAAACAGCAAATCTCAATGGCTATATGCAAATCAGATCTAATCTCCATTCATGAATATATGCCAGCCATGATGTAAAAAATTATTTAATTTTTTTAAAATTCCTTATTTTTCTCATTTTTTGCTTTTTTGAAATTATCTTTTTAAAGTTTAATTTTTTTAAATTTTATTTTATATATTATTAATGTATGCATGTTTTAATGTAGATTTAAAAAAAAATGAGACAGATCACAGGGGACCCCAATGAAGGATTTTATATTAGTCATGCCATCCAATTTTCTAAGCTAATTTTTTTCTATATAAAATATATATTTAATTTGATATTTGTTCGTATGTGTATTTAATTTTTTAAATTGAAACAGCTTTTTTTTAAATAAAAAATTTACAACCTATAAAGATTTTATATTTTTTTCCATATAATTTTTAATATATTCTTATTTTTTTTTAAATATATTTTAAAGATGAATTCCTAATCAAGAGTAGTAATAAATTAAATATATAATAAAAATGGTTTAAAAAAGAATTTCATTTAAATGTTAAGCATACCGTGTAGGGTGTGCAAGCATTGGCCACTTTTGATATCCCATATCTTGACAGTGCTGTCGGCGTTGCCCGACACTAACAGATTGTCCTTGAGTTCCATTCGACTCGTCAGAGACTGATGTCCGACGAGAGTGTGCAAACAAGTTCCGGTCTCCACATCCCACACACGGATCGAAGTATCCAATGAGCCACTGACTATATGGGAACCGTCAAACTATAACAATTAGAGGAAGAGGAAATATAAAGGGTGCTTTTTTCATATATAGTTATTTATCATCTCAATAGTGTGAGATATTTTTCCATTTAAAATTTCGACGTGAATAATTTAGTAAAATTAGTTTAATTCCCCCAAAACACATTTATAATGATCAATTTTGGCTCCCTTTCATCTCAATAGAATATTTTTCCATTTAAAATTTCGACGTAAATAATTTAGTAAATTAGTTTAATTCCCCCAAAACACATTTACAATGATCAATTTTGGATCCCTTTCATCTCAATAGAGTGTGAGATATTTTTCCATTTAAAATTTCGACGTAAATAATTTAGTAAAATTAGTTTAATTCCACCAAAACATATTTATAATGATCAATTTTGGCTCCCTTTCATCTCAATAGAGTAAGACATTTTTCCATTTAAAATTTCGACGTGAATAATTTAGTAAAATAAGTTTAATACCCCAACATTAACTATATAATGATCATTTTTGGCTCCCTTTCCCAAGACTTACAATATGCTGCTATGATGTTATAAAATATGATCCGAGTCTTAAACCTGCAATGAGTAGACCCGATTAGTGTGACCGTGGAGAGTGTGAAGGCAGTCGCGAGTGACAGCGTCCCAGACCTTAACGGTATAATCGTAGGCTCCGGAAACAACGCGACGCCCGTCGAAGGCGACGCAACGTACCGCAGCCACATGGCCGAGCATTACGCCAGCACAAACACCGCTGCGGATATCCCAGAGGCGAAGCGTGGCATCACGCGATCCGCTAACCACTCTGTATAAAGAATATTTTAAAAAATTTAAAGACTTGATATTCTGCAAAAAAATTTATATCCTTCATCATATACCCTCCAGTGATCTGCAAAACCGGCCTGACAAATTTAATAGCACTGAGAAAAATAAGAGTATTTTAATTTTATTATATAACATTTTTTGTTACATGTGTCTTTTTTCAAACACAGTGTCTTTATCAATGCTAATTAGATGAGAGGAGGACACTATTTCTGAAAAACTCCTATGGCATCCTTTCCTGGGTGAAATCATTACAGCTAAAAAGCAAAAGAAAAATTTAAAAAAAACATAACTAAAAAGCAAAAAAACGAAAATAAAATATGAAAAATAACAATGTCACCAAATACTTAAAAAACCAAAATAAGGTGTCCTAGTACAAAAGCTATATAGTGCTAAAAAGTAATTAAGTCGAACCAGGACACACCTATGTGTATGAAAAGGGACATTATATGATAAAAAGCTATATAACATTCGTACAATTTCGATAAATAAATATTTTAAAAATCATGTTGCACTTCGTTAAATATGATGGAGTAGAGGTTTGCAATGGACCAATTTTTGAACTGAATGTTTGCCAACCCATGGTTTTTTTTAAATTCGCTCGCCCGCTTGCTTGCCTTTTTACTTATAAATCCTGTTTAGCCCATCCATCCAATGTTTAAAAACTATTTAATTGGTTGACTTGGCTCTTTATTGATTTCTAATTAAACTTATGAAATAAAAAAATATTTCAAACTCATCCCTGCATTGTTTAAAAAAATATTTTTTTAACCCGCCAATTCCCACGCCCTGCTAAAATTTTTGCCTGCCTAGACCTCTAAGGTATATATGAATCTCGGACATAAATTCCTGGACAAAAATACCCCAATTATAATAAATTTGTAAAAGTTTATAAAGGGGAATCTTTTTAAAAAAAATTTAATAATTTATTATACATGGCTCTATAAGCGTCTGCTAAATTATGCCGAATGTAGTTTACTAATAAAATTAAGTATTTCACGTAATCTACTTTTATGCTTAGATTAACTTTTGCACATATCAGGCCTTGCCATGAAAGCGTGTAATACATTTAGCCAACATCTAAACATTTCCCCATTACTACACACATGTGTATGGTTTTTAATAAAAGTGCACAGCAGACACTAGTTAAAGATTTTTTTAGTAAAGAATGAAACACATGTGTGGAAGAAATAATTAATTATATAAATTCCCCTCTTTCTAAACATTTTAAAAAATTATTAAAATTTGGGTTTTGTCAGCGACATTTGTGACCAATCACCAAGGTGTATAATGCGTAAAAATGAAGTCACTATTATTAGAAAAAATATGCTGTATTAATTATAATCCTAAACAAAAGAATATGAGGTTAGCTTATTTTATTTTTTAAAATTCATTATTAATAACCTGTCTCCTTTGAGGCTCATACATCTGACGGTCGAGGTATGACCAGTGAGTGTGTGAATACATTTACTACCTTGCCCCTTGGTAAGATGTTCCGAAGATGGGAGGGTCTCAGGTTGCGGCAGAGGGTAAGAAAGCTTATTTTATTTAATTGAGAAAATTATAGGGTATGTAGTAGCCTGTAAAATTAAATTTTTTGACCTGGTCCGCCGAATTCAGAATATTGTATAGAAAAGAAATCATATTCAAAATATTTATTTTATTCTCTAATGATGCCCATTATCTTTAAAACCCTAAGAAATAATACTACTAGGGCAAAATGTCAATGGCTATTTCGATCCAGCGTCTTACAATGAACAGTGTCATAATACCGAAAAAGGCGAAATGCATCCCAACAAAACCACGAAACTTTACTCTAGTACTACTCCCTACTATATGAGCAAAGGTTTCACCCTCGATTACAAGAAAAAACGACTATTCAATCACTGGGGACTAGTCGTATAAAAACTTCCATTATCAAAATGAAGCAGCGCTTAATTGAATTCGTGTCGAATAGTGTTGATAAAATTTTAAGGTTTCCCCATTTGATTGCTGCAGTGGAGGAAAAATTTCTAGAAGTTAGAATTCGTTTAAGGTCACCAAACCCTAAAGATTTTCCCGACGAAGTTAAATTTATTTACGATCATTTCTTAATGTTCCTTTTATTTGCCAAACTCGCCCATTTTTATCGTAAAATAAACTATTCTTACGAATGGCATTAATATAGTGTATTACAACGCATTGTTAAATTACAATGAAACGAGCGTTAAAAATCAACTAACAATAAAAGGGGATAAATATAATAAAGTTTTATTTTAATTTAATAAATTAAATATGGACAAGTAATTAATTAACAAGATTAATCGTTGTGTTGGAAATTTAATTAAAAATAAAAAAAGGTGTTAGACTTTTATTAATTTTTTAAATTTTTCTTAAATAAGTAAAAAAATATTTATTAATTTTTTAAATTTTTCTTAAATAATAAAAATGTTTAATATAGAATCTTTATTATCCAATAGTAATATTAATTTTTCCAATTTAAATGAAAACTCCCAATCTTCGTCGAGAATTCAAAGACCAAAAAGAATACACAAATATTGGAATAAAGAAAAAATAGATATAGTTACTAAAATGTTATCAATGCCAGAAAGAGAACAGATGAAAATTAAAGACATTGCAAAATACGTCGAAATGCAGCATCAGTTCATAAATTTAGACGGGACACATTCCCAGATATAAATGGAGAACCTTTAAAAGAATATAATATTCAAAAAAGAGGAAGTAAAAAAAGAAGATACTTCCATAATTGAAAGACTCATCATAAATTTATTGATGGATAATAATACTCTTACTATCCAGCAGATAATAGAAAATTTACCTACTGGTAGTCCAAGAACGAAAACAACAATTAGCAAATATATAAAAAATATAGGTTGGTCGAAAAAAAGAGCTGGCAAGGAGCCTGATAGAAGAAATACTCCTGGGGAAATCAATATTCGTCAAATCTATTGTGTAAAGATCATACCCCAAGAGAAAAATTATATTTCTTAGATAAAACTGGAATAAACTTGCACATTGTACCAATCTAAGCCTGGGCACCATACAATGTCCGTCCAGTAATAAAAATTCCATACTCTAAGGGTAAAAATGTAAGCATACTTTGTACAATTGGAATTGGAGGGGTAATCCATTATAAAATAATCGAAGGAGCTTATAATGGGTTGTTATTCCGTGATTTTATGACAGAGCTTATCATTGTCTTACCACCAGATGCAATTATTGTAATGGATAATGCATCTATCCATAAAAGCCATCTTATCGATGCATATAAAGATAGGATTGAATATCTACCACCATATTCACCTCAGCTAAATCCCATCGAAAATTTTTTTGGAGTCTTGAAAAATAAATATCGAGCAATAAACCCCCGCCCTAATTCAAGAGATGAAATTATTAGGAATATTATTCAGCTCTTACACGAATTTATTCCTTATGATTTTACTAACTTTTACAATCACATGCAAAACTATTTGGAGTTGGGTTATCGCGGGCAACTGATTAATTAGGTAATCCTTTTAATTGATTTGTATTAATAATTATAATATTAACTCTTTAAATTTCTAAATAGGTACCATCATCAAATTAGTGGAACAAAAGAAAATTTTAATAAATTATAATTATATTTTTTATATCGAAGTTATTATAAAAATAGTATTATCATATTTTTATCGAAATAAATTGGTGCAAAATTTCAAAATAGATTACATTTAAGAAATTCTAATATATTTTCAAATATCAAAAAGACTTTTTACAAAAAATGATTTAGAATTTTAGATAAAATTTAAACAAAAATCTTACTTGAACATTCTCAAAGAAGATCAAAAAAAAATTCCCATTTTTTAATACAAATTTAGATTTACAACATAATTTCTTTTTATTAATTTAAAAACGATTAATCTTATTAATTAATTGCTTGTCCATATATAATTTCAATATGTATTAAATTAAAATAAAATTTTATTATACCCCTTTTATTGTTAGTTGATTTTTAACACTCGTTTCACTGTAAATGAACCTTTGAAAAAATAATTATATTATATAATAAATATAATCAGATTTAATTTAAGTTTTAATAAATATTTACACTCTTTTTTCTTCTTGTTTTTATAATACTTTTTATACTTCATGCATTTTTTTAAATTATTTTTTTAATTTACCAACCGCCTTAAATTCTTTTGTTTTCTGGTTTTTAATAATATTTTTTAATGCATCTTTTATTTTCCCCAACATTTGTCTTATTTTACTAGTTTTTTTTAAAATGAAATGAACTTATTATATATTTGTGTTTATCTTATTCCTCTCCCCTAGCTATATCTTTTTTTGGTTCCATGTCAATTCAGCGAAACTTTTATCTTGAAATTTTTATCGCGAATGAATTTTATAGCGAATCCACATTAGCAAATATTTTTCCGCGAAACCTTTTAAGCGAATACATTAGAGCGAAATTTTTATCGAAAATTTTATAGCGAAGTCAATATCGCGAAGATAATATAGCGAAAACTATTTCGCGAAATATAACGCGGCCTATTATTATTTTTTTATTAAAATAATTTATTTTATTTATATTTAATGTTAATATTTTATTTATCAACAAACAAACATATGATATATATTTTATTTATATTATTATATTATGAAAATGAAAGATGGATTTCTTTTGATATTTTTTTAATAAAAAAAATGATATGCTACTATTGTAATATTATTTTTGTATTTTTTAAGTGATTTTCACACGCCCAAAATCAGAGACCTGCAGAGGTACCATTTGCACGGCCCGGCTTTAAATTTTTTAGGCCCGGCCCGACCCAGATATTTTTTTTAAAAAATTTTTACGGCCCGGCCCGGATTTAAAAATTTAAAGGCCCGGCCCGGATATTTTTTTAAAAAAATTTTTACGGCCCTGCCCGGATTTAAAAATTTCAGGCCCGGCTCGGAATTTTTTAAAATTATATTCGACCTGGTATATACAAAAATTCACCTATGAGGTATTTTACCATATTTTTCAGCGAGTATTATCGCTTATTATTTAAAAAATACATGTAAAAAGCTAATATTTTGAGAATATTATATTGAATTTATAAAAATTATAAAACTGTTATTTATAAAAATGGATATTTTGAGCATATACTATATTTTATATTGCATTTATAAAAATAAAACTAATATTCATAAAAATGGTAATAATATTTTGAGCATATACTATATTTTATATTGCATTTAAAAAAAAATAAAACTAATATTTAATTTATAAAAATGGAAAATATTTTGAGTATATAATATATTGTATTTAATTTACTATTTAATTTATAAAATAAAAATAAATCGCTATTTAAAAAAATGCATGAATAAATAGTATTTTGAAAATATAATCTAATTGCACAATATTAATATAATTTATTTTATAATATAAATTTTTAACAAAAGAAGATAATTGTATTATATAAATATTGTTAAAAAAATAATGAAAAATGTTGGATTAAAAACTTTCATGACTCAAGGAAAATATAATAAATGCAATAAATATTTGACAGTTTGCAAAGTAAAAAACCAGCATGATTGACGAAACCCTATACTCAAGAAAGATATTAAAAATTTACAAATTATCATGAAGAAAGAGAAGCATATCTACCTTTTCAGGTTGAAGATTACTTCTTCTTTCTTCAAGAATTCTCGTAGTGGAAAAATTCCGCTCACAGCTTGCACTTGAAGCATGGAAATTCGCTTTGATGAGCCGCCCACCACTCTAACAAATTATCCACCTTAAATGTTTCATCTATTTTTTTATTTATGTAATTATAATATTCATCATCGGGTATTGACATATTATCAGAATTACCATCGCCCCATTTGTCATAAAACGATTCAGTTTGTTTAACAACAGTCGTAATTTGACTGGTCGTGGTATTTCATTTACTTCCTGAGCCTCTTGTAATTTAATATAATCTTTTATATAGTTTTCCGTCATCTTGCGATCTGTCCCTGACTACATACGTAATTGCTTGAATTTGGGACAGAGAAAAAGAGAAATAAAATGATACTTGTGTAAAACAAATTTTTCAATTAAAAAATGCTTTATATTAAGTAAAATCAATTTTATTTCTCCTTTTTCGCTTTGAAAGGTATTACAAACTTCAAGAAGTGATATTCCTTTATTTGATTGTTTTGGTAAAATATATTCTAAAAATTTAGATATGAATTATAAAAAAATATATTAATAATACTTGAATATTGGGGCTTATTTAAGATATTCCTTTATTTGATTTTTTTGGTAAAATATGTTGTAAAAATTTAGATATGAATTATAAAAAATATATTAATACTTTGAATAAATTTGCAGGAAATTAATAATCAGATCGATATGTGGGTGTTAGGTAGTATTAACCATCACCCAATATTATATTAATCGTAACTATAATATAATATAATCTTATAACCATTAACTCATAATGTAAAAATTTTTATAAAAAATATTAAGGCCCGGCCCGGGTTTAACAATCTTAGGCCCGGCCCGGATATGTTTAAAAAAACATTTTAGGCC